AGAATCATAGAAATAAGATTAGTTAAAATTAAAATAGAACAAAAAGTATTTTATGTAAAATAACTTAAATAAACTTCAGGAAATATGTCAGAAAACCCTATAAGAAAGATTTTTTTCCCCACCCCCGAGAACAAGCAAAAGAAATGCCAACAGATTGGTAGGAAGCTGTATTATTTAATATAAATTTAAAGCATGATTTATCCATGTGAAGTTATGAACCAAAGGTTTTAAAAGCAGTAGCCTAAAACTAAAATGGGAAAAGAAAAAGGCTTAGAGGTGGCATAGAGGCTACCTTTCCTCCAACACATAAAAGTTAACAATCAAATTTAAATTACACTAAGAGAAATGTAAGAAATAATAGTTTCCTTATGCATTGTCTTGGTCAGACAACATCTAGAGAGCATCTAGAGAGTAGTGTTCAATTTTTAGTGCCACTTGGCCCTCAGAGATAGGGTTGGCTCTTTTTAGGCTCTGCAGTTCATATCATATGGTCTCTGTCTCAACTAAATTCTGCAGTTGTAGCACAAAAGCAGCCATAGATATGTTAACAAATGGATATGGCTGTGTTCCAGTAAAGATTTATTTATAATACAAAAGGAGGAGTGCCAGATTTGGACCTGCCCAGTTTTGGAAAATAAATATTGACAAATTTTAGTAGGTCGAAATTGGATAATGTGTATTTAAGGGTCTGGTAACCCTATCATATAAGGAATAATTTAAGAGATCATTAATATTATATTTAGCCTAGAAAAAGATAATCCTATAAGTAATAAAATTTGCTTTAGGACACTCGGGTACAAGACACCACTCATTTCTTCATTCAGTAAAAGTTAATTTTGTGTTAGTCCTCAACCACAGGGCTTTCAAAAAAAAATCTATTCTCGGTTTTGTATTATCAGTGAGAAATGCAGAGATCATAGAATCCAGGAAATTGTCAAAGAGCCTCTAGTCTTAGTTCATTGTGGTTCACACTTGAATATCTGTTGCCTATAACTACATGGCCAAATGAAATGCAGGTGGCTCTACTGCTCCTGTGTCACATTTAACCAGTTGGTCCCTCACCTGAGCTCCCAAGGCTTTGGTGTTCATTGTTTGTTTGTTGGGCCTGTGGTTTCAGAGCAAGGTTTGAGAGAATCTACCACTCAGTATTCCCAGGCTGAGAAGAAAATATATTTCTCTCTTCATGAGCCCCAGCTCATGTAGTAGTACCCACCCCTCGTGCCCTGAAAGCACCTATTCAGGGTAGATTTGGTGAGAGGTAAAGCAGATGCTCTCCTTAATATGCTGCCCAAGGTTTTGCAACTATCGTTGGACTACTGGTAGTCCCACGTGGGCCCTTCTCGGTGTCTTGGAACATATTTAAATATCTGGGTAGAGAAATGAAGCATATATATATATATATATATATGAAAAACTTATAATTCAATAAGTTATATATTAAATTCTATGTAAATCATGGGGGGAAAAAAGGAAAACAGTATATGAGTTAAAAAGGAGAGATCATATTCAGGTAGATAAGATTTCATTCCTCAGATCCTTATTTCCAACGAAGACTTTTACCTGAGCTGCAGACACACACACACACACACACACACACACACACAGAGACACTCCTTTTCCTAATATAAGTGTCTCACATTCACACAAAGGCAATAGAGTTTTAAAATACAATTCATTATATCCAACCTGTCTGTACCTTATATTTATTCCATTCCAACAACTCTACACTTCTACTCAAGCTAGAAACTATCTTTAATTTCTTCCTTTACATCTCACATCCAATCAGTCATCATCATTAACCAAGTCACATCTTTCTCCAAAGCATCTCTCATATCTGCCACCATGTTCTCCATATTGCCATTGCCTTATTTCTGGCCCAAGTTATATCTCACATGAATTTCATGGAAGTCTCTTATCTGAACTCACTGCATGCACATCTTCTCCCCATTTCCCACACCATTCCAAGCTGCCAAAGTGAGCTTTCTAAAATAAAAATACGATATCTTTTTCCTACCTGAATCTTAAAGCCTTCCATTGCCTTCAAGCTAAAACTCAAAACTTCTTGGCTTGACATATAAAATAATGTCATGATCTGGCCCTTGCCTACATATTAATTTTTATTAGTTTTCTTGTTATTTATTATTCTCTACTATTTCTTAGTATTCTTACTAACCTGTGGTTGGTTGAATGAGCCATGGTCTCTTTCAATCCACCTCTTTGACATTCCCCCCTAAAGTGGCCATCTCCCCTGACTCTGTAGCCTGACCAATTCCTCCAAAGTGAAGCCTCAGTAAAGCCTCCTGTTTTCTACTCCCACCTCCCCAGGGCTGAAAAAGTACCTCTCCTCTGTTTTCTCCAGCAACCTACACTGTATTTCTATGGCATTTACCTTAATTGGTAGAAATTATTGATTCTCTTAGCTATTTCTCTCAAGATTATGAGGTACCTAATAATAGAAACAACTTTATCTTGATAACCCTAAAACTTGGGAGATCACAGGAAATCAATATAATTATGTTATTAAATAATTTTGAGAGATGAATGGGTAAAGGTGTACTGAATAGAACCAAGTGCATTAGCAAAGCCTTAAAACTCAGAAAACTGGTCTTCTTAAAATCACCACTAATCTCCATGTTGTTAAATCAAGTGGTCAGTTCTCAGATCTATCTGCAGGTTTGTCACAATTTTTCATGGCATCCACCTTGAAATGTTTTCCTTACTTGACTTCCAGGTCATTACACTCTTCTGATTTTTCTCTTATGGCCCTAGTCACTTCTCAGCCTTCTTTGTTGGCTCATCCTCACATCCTCTTAGACCTATGCTCTTCTCATGTACACTCATTCCCTTGTTGATTTCATAGTCTCAAGACTTCACATGCCATTTTTATGTTATCATGCTCAAATAATCTCTCTTTCCTAGACTTCTTCCCTGACTCCAGACTTTGTATACACTGCCTGACTGACATCTTTATTTATCTCCACAATAGAAATTTCCAACTTACCACTTCTAAAACTGAACCGCTGATCTACCCAAAACCCTGTTCTACTTGATCTTCTACATCAGTCAATTGCAATTTCATCTTTCTGGTTGTTCAGACAAAAACACACTTCTAGTCACACTCAACTCTACTTTCTCTCACTTCCTACAGCCCATCCATCAATAAGACATTTGATTCTAATCTTAACTATATCCAGAACCCAAGCCCTTCTCAGCACCTTTGCAGCCACCACCATGGACCCAGCCGTCATTGCCTCTCATGTGGCTTATTACATTGGCCTCTTATATGATCTCCCTGCTTCCACTGCTGTCCCCCTCAGTCTAGTTACAAGACTGCAATCACAGGTATCCTTTTAAAACAAGTCACTTCAGAAACATCTTTCATCAAAACCCTTCAGCGAACCTCCATCTTACTCAGAATGAAAGCCAAAGTCTTGACGTTGAGCATAAAACCTCATATTATACGACTCCCCATGACATCAACTCCTCATGCCTCCTCCCCCTTCCTCATCCTAGTCTCCTAAGGTGTCTTCAAGCAAGCAACATGTGCCTGTTTTAGAGTCTTTATAGGAGGACTCTATTCTTTGTAAGACTATTGGCATGCTCCTTCATTTTCTTTAGCCATAGCTCCAATTTCTCATTTAGGCCTTCCTTACTGGTCATTCTATTAAAAATTAAATCCCTATGTGAATTCTCCGTATCTACCTCCTCTGCTTAAGTTTTCTCCATAGCATTTGAACCTTCTAATATATTATTTTACTTAAATATTTTGTTTACTGTCATTCTCTCCTCACTGGATGCAAAGCCCTTTTGGGGCAGGAATTCTTACCTTTGTTCATTGCTATACCCCAGATTAGCACATAATAATCTCATAATAATCTCTCAATACTAGTTGCTAAGTAAAGAAAGGCTACACATATTTTTTGCATTTCCTAGTGCTTGACAGTGTCTGGACTGCAGCAGTTTTTCATTTAAAGTTCATAAAAGCCCTATAAGATAATTTCTACATCCATTTTAAAGATGATAAAATTAAAATTTCTAAGATCTGAGTCAGTGATGCTTCTTTTCTATATAGGAAGGACTTGAGGACAGCATTCTGGTTAGTGGGGAGAGACAAAAATATCTTTCAGAAAAACACTCTATTTTCTTATGTTGTATGTTCACTTAAGAGTACTTTGAAAAATGTGCATATATGGTAGTAACATTCATTGGGTGTTGGGCAGATGGGAGGGGGGAAGAGAGGATGGGTATATACACACCTAATGGATGTGATGCACGCCGTCTGGGGGATGGACATGTTTGAAGCTCTGACTCAACTCGGGTAGGACAAAGGCAATATACGTAACCTAAACATTGGACCCCCCATAATATGCTGAACTAAAAAAAATTTTAAATATAATTTAAAAAATGCTGACTGTATATGGAGTGTGCTTGGGTTCCCCTAACCTTTGATACCAACTCTTACCCAAGGTTTTGCAATTCTTCAGAGCTATATCAGCATTTAAATCAATATGTTTAGGAGACAATGAATACAACAATTTGTCTCTAACAGAAGCTCATTTATGGAAGAAGAAAATGACAAGACTGATGATGAAATTGTGCTATATTGTAGAGTTTTAGAATGATTTGCTAAGAATTGAGTTTGTCCATTGATTCCCAAACCTGTGGTTATTCTTAAAAATATCAATAGTGGGGCCCCACCCTATACATTCTTTGGTGTAGATATTTAACAGTCTTCTCAGGTTTTTGTTAAGCAGCCAACCTTGTACTTCAACCATCCACTGGCTTCTGGAAATTGATGTTATAGATCATGATAAGCTACTAAAGGTTTTCAGATGGCAGTTTGCATACATTTCTGTGGTTTTACAATTTACTTCTTGCTAAAGAATACTCCCATTTTGTGCACTATACAATCAGGTAAATTTGGTGGGGGTGTGGATGGAATTCTTTCAAAGCAATGTACCATGCACTCACAATAATATTTTTCTCCATCTGTTATATAGGTCCATGCACAAACTGGCCCAGTTGGAAAGACTTGACCTAGGCAATAATGAATTCAGTGAGCTGGTAAGCAAATGCCTTTTCTAAACTTGATAAATACACTCCAGGAGGTTATTTCTTTTGCTCTGTCTTTGTAAGCCCAGGCATTAAATCAAGTGCACATTTACATTTGGTAAATATGATAAATAAAATCTGGGAGTTAAAGTGATTGCTGACTATATAGTGAGCCTCAGAGAACTGAATAACATTAGGGTTCACTGAGAAAAAATGGTTTGAGCATGATGCAAATTGACAATGTTGAATACCAACTACATAGCAGGCACCATGTTTAGTGTATTATATATGTTATCTCATTTAATTTGACATGTTGTCATTTTAACTTTATGAAAATGAGCTCAAAGTGGACAATGACATGCATAACTATAAATATTATGCAGCTGAACAGGAATTAAACTAAAACTGATTAACTACAAAGTCCATACCTTGAAAACTTCTGCCTTGGAGGCTGCTTGGTGGCATAGCATAGGAGAAGTGAGTCACTAACAGCATGCTATTTCTAGTTGTACTGAAAGTGTCTTTCTAGTGAACACACATTACTACCTCACTGCCAGCAAGATTGGCAGAATTCTGCCTGCTTTTTCAGGTGTTAGTTTTTTTAAAAATTTTCCCGAAGACCAAAATCTCAAATTCAGTTTAGGAAGCAAATATTCCTTTATAAGAAGATCTAGCTTTCTTCATTCAGAAATCTTCCACTTGGATAACTTCAGTTTTAAAGTTCTAATTCATCTAACGTGTATGTAACTATTTTTAAATTAAAACATTTAAGTTATCAGTTTTTTCTGCCCCAGCTCTCTTACTAAGTATGTGGACTTTGTGCATGTTACTTAAACTCTCTAAGCCTCATTTTCGTAATCTATAAAATGAGAATTATAATAATTCCTCTCTCACTCAGGGATTGTATGAAAATTAAATAAGATAATACATGAACAGGGCCTAGCAAAAGTTGTTCTCGGTAAGTGCCAGTATACAGGGGTGACAGGGTATAACTCTCGCTGTATTCTGAATGCACAAAGAAAATTAATTTATTTCGACCATAGCTAATCTGATCATTATCCCAGCCTCTATCAACTGTTTATTAAGAGTAAAAACTGACTTTTATTCTTCTGTGATTAAAAGTTTAATCTGATTTAAGAAGTTAGATGATCCCTTTAGGTTTGTTCATCTTTCTGTATTTTTTTTCTTAAAAGATGTGTTAGTAAAGTTTGTTCATCTTTCTTACATAAAAACTCTCAGTCTCTCATGTATGCTCTCCCCTTCCCCTATTTTATTCCCTAAGATGGAATTTGTTTATGTCCAAAGGAAGCTACATGTCTTTGGGACCTGGGTGAAAGGGACCCCCTGGCCTTAGCCTGGATTTTGGAAGTGTGCAGGCAGCATGTGCTAGCCTCTACGCTGCTGACTGCAGCTGATATTGCTTCTTGTGTTAAATTCTGAAGCTGTGGTCATGTCTTTGGGCTCAGGAGAAACTTCCTTGGAACATTGGTTGTTTTCTTCTTTGGGCATTGCTACATTCTGCTTTCACTGGCTACAAGTGCATAAATCTCTATCATGTCCTCCCTCCAACACCAGGCTGAGCAGACCATCTCTAGTTTCTGTTGTGAAGGTCACTCACCAGCCATAGTCCCAGTACTGGCTCCATAGCCAGTCTGCTGGCTCTGAGAACCTGTATGATGTGCAAACTGAGAAGAGCCCAGTAAAGATAAACTTCAGAGCCTCCCCTGCGTGCCTCCCCTCCCCTGCCTGTCATGTTTACTCTGCCTTGAATGCATCCAGTGTTATTATAAAGCAGATTGCAAGGTGGTAAGGCTGGTAAATAACAGTGGAAACAGTGGTAGTTTTATACTAATACTTTTAAAATTAGTTGTTATAGATCTAGAATCTGCACATGCTTTTATTAAGACATGGAAGTTGGCCTAGTAGTTGAAAGAACATGGTCAGTAGATTCAGACAACTGAGGCTTGCACTCAACTCCTTCTCTAGTGATATGGATACCTTGGGGCCTGTAGCACACTCTCTAACCTCAGCTTCCTCATCGATAAAATATAAATAACAATCCTATCTATCTCACAGGCTTCTGGAGAGAATTTAATATGAGATAATCAACAATAAACAGTATGTTTCAGTGAATTTCAATTCTGTCAGGTATATCATTTTGCAAGTCTTTCATCTGATTATTTGTGAATCAATATTTTACTCTAAAGATTTTGGTCAAGAAATGTGAATAGGGTAGGTTTATTTTTTTTAAATAGACCTACTGAAAGTAAATTTTAAAATATTTTAATGTATGCTTTGTGGTATCTAAGAAATCATCATCTGAGCAGAAATAGTTTTCATTTTTCGATATGTCAGTATTTCACGTTAGGCCCAAAATAAGTCTCTTTTTCCACTTTTTTTTTTTTTTTTTTGCATTTGTCCTAAGAGGCTTTATTTGATAATGTTCAGTTATTTGGAGAGTATAATTATGGAATTTCACATTTCTAATGTTATTCACTTTTAATCGAATGTCTGACAGTTATTAGTCATATGCATAGAACTGGCTGTTGTTTCTCTGACAGTAAAAACTTGTAATGAGAAAAATAAGAGACTTTGCTCTTTTGGAGATCTCTAAAAACAATGTCTTGTGGGGGAGAGAGGATTGAATTCCATTCTGTAGCTAGATACTGACACCTCGGAGGTTATGATTAAATGAGTTACTTTTGTAACATAGTAAAGAGACAATGTAGAGAGTCGATAACTGTAAGTTTAAAAAAAAAACATGTCAAAGCCTAAAGAAAACAGAAATTTATTTGCTTGAGAAGCCATGTGTAATAAACATTCAAAAAAGATTCTATGTAGAAATATCTACTTACAGATGCATTTGTACTTATGAACAATTTTAAACAAAGAGAATTATCTCATTTTCTAACAGCAACAGTCACCTGAAGATAATGATCAATGTTCTGGGAACATAATAGATGCTTAAAGTTGGGGGTTTTTTTTAATTGCTTTTTTTCGTGAGTTGTTTTGCTCTATGTAAAACTAATAAATATTCATTTAAGAAAATTTTGAATGATTAAAGAAATATAAAAACGATAGTAAAAGTCATGTATGATCCCATCCCATGTACATATAATCATTACTAATATCTTTTGGTATATCCCCCCTCATCCCTGTTTTCTTTTTATTAGGTCAAGTGAGTATGATTTGGGGTCAGGTCAGAGATGGAACATTACTAGGTTGATAGGTGAAGCTGGATAACATCAACCCTTAGCGATCCTCTGTGTAATCTGAGTAGAACTAAGTGTCACAGAATAATTTGGAGCTTCCCAACTGTTGTGGAACAGTTAGCGGGGCTGAAATAGATTCCTTGACTATCATAGGGCCTATGGTAGGTACATTTTCACTATCCAATAAATTGAGTCCCTGTTGGTCCTGAACTGGTGGAGGAAATAATGGAGCCCCTAAAGCAAATCACCATGTGTGAGAAACATTCAGGAAAATGAGGCAGATTGAGTAGCAGAGCTTGAAGGATGAGGGGATCAGTAGATCCAGAAGCACAGTGAGGCCCTGATGACCATCCCACAATATAGACCAGATCATGGGCAGCAACCCACCCAGGACCACAGAGTGACAAGGGGCAGCAGAGGAGGAAGGCAGGAACACAGTGGTTATTGGAGCAGGGGCTCCCTTCCATGGGAGATTCCCTTGTCTCTGTTCCTTCCCATTCCCCACCAAGGGAACTTCTAAATAGCATAATTAAGGAGGAGGATCTCAGGAAGGGTCCAATTTCCTGGTCCTGTGCTATTTGAGCAGAGGGAGGGTGGGTCAAAGATGAAATTTGAAATTTTACTGTAAATAATTCATAATACATACTGGTTATATGTGTCTGTATAGATATTTCTATCGATCAATACCACATTGGAATCATAGCATACATTCTATTTTATATTAATGCATGGTTATCAAATTCAAATAATTAGATTCCTTACAGGCATTATAATTTAAAACCTTTCTTTGTAGCTTCCTAATTCATTGAATGAGAAAGACTGTCAAATAGTAGCTACAAAATAAATAGTGAATTAAGACCTGAATTTAAGGGAAAAAAGTAAAACCAAAGAGGCTTGACTTTTATTGTATCAAATTAGATACACATAAATTAATATGTGCAATATTCATTTAAGTTACAAGCATAATAAAACACATCCTATGAACCCACTGCCATTTTCTTACAAGCTAGAACAAACACTGTCAATCATGTGCAGCTACCTGCATGCTCTTCTCCAGTCCCCACATTCTGTCTTCCCCAGAGGTAGCAACAATCCTGAATGTGTTTAACGTTTCCTTGCTGTAATTTTACCCCATTTGTATGGCTCTCTATTATATTGTTGCACTTGGCTTTTTCTCAAAATGTGACCATACCACAAGTTACTTATCTTTCCTTATCTCCACGGACGCTTTTCTCCAGTTGCTATGAACATTCCTATTATGTGCACATGTGTGAGAGTTTATCTAAGGCTATATGTGGAAGTGGAATTTCTTTATCATAAGTTATACACACATTCATTTCTAAAAATAATGCTTTTTTAAAAAAAATAGTTGTACTCATTTGCCAACAATGTATAATAGTTACCACGCTTCACATTTTCACTAACACTTGATATTATCAGGCTTCTTATTTTTGCCAGTATCATGGCCATAGAATGGCATCTGATTATAATCTTAATTTGCATATATCTGATTTCAAATGAGATTGATGGTCTTTTTCATATGTCTGTGACAGTTTGTATTTTCTTTCCTGCGAAATGCCTGTTTATGTATTTTTGTTCATTTTTCTATTGGTTGTCTTTTTCTTATTGACTTACAGGGATCTTTTATACAATTTAGATATTAATTCTTTTTTAGTTATAGGTTCTACAAATGTCTCCTCCCTATCTGTGGAGAGTCTTTTTACTTTCTACAATGTGTCTTTTGATGAGTGGAAGTTCTTAATTGTAATAAAATAAATAGATTTTTTTGTGTCTAGTACA